TCTTTCTTTCTTTCTTTCTTTCTTTCTTTCTTTCTTTCTTTCTTTCTCTTTCTTTCTTTCTTTCTTTCTTTCTTTCTTTCTTTCTTTCTTTCTTTCTTTCTTTCTTTTAAATGTTTATTTACTTATTTTGAGAGAGGGGGAGATCTTGAGTGGGGGAGATACAGAGAGAGAGGGAGAGAGAATCGGGGCAGGGCTCAATGCAGGGCTCCATCCCATGAACCGAGAGATCATGACCTTAGCTGAAACCAAGAGTTGGATGCACAACCGACTGAGCCACGCAGGTGCCCCAGTTAGCAACTTAATCTTAATCATGTCTCATCTACAGACCACCCCTGCCCCCCGCCAGATATGCACACTGAAAAATTTTGAAACAAATCCCAGATATTTTATATCATGTGCTAGAGCCTTTGGATGAAGTGGGGTTTATTGCCAGAAAAGAATACTATTTCTGAAAATGTGATACTGAACCGTACAATTTCTCCTCGAGTTTTCCTTACTGTTTAACTTGTAACACAATCCTGTGCATAAGAAATATTAAAAATTAGTATTGTTAATGTTAGACTACAATTTAAACCCCGATGAGATTTCTTGTGGATAAAAGCATCAGAAGACTGGACGACAGTTAAAAGTACTTTATATCCTGCTTGCTCAGGGCTGTGTTTGGCAACCAAACACCCTGTGCCGTTTAGCAGTCATATAACTTTATTCTCTGAACAGGTCACTTCTGTGATGGTGTTAGAGAAGGTACAGAACGTTAGGGGGTCCAGGAGCTGGTGGTCCTGATTGGCCCGCCATTGCCTCATTTTCTGCAAGCATCATTTATAGCAAAGGGCCTGTTTTGTGGGCACCTGCAGGATTAGCATGTAGAAAAGCCTTTTGCCTGTCTTCATTCTGCTTCCTCCTAGGGCATTTGCTGGGAGCAACATTTGGAAGCTTTGCTAACATGGAACAAAGTCATTTACACACATTACGCACTATAGAGACTGGTCAGAGGATAGATAATATTCAGAAATGGATTCTCTGGAAAGACCGTAGTATTATCTTGTAGCATTTAGTTTGTGAGTTGTCTTCATCATCTGTCTCCTGCTGCTTGTGTTGTGTCTCACTGTCCAGACATCAGAAAACGTGTCCGTCTTTGTCCTTTGGTAGCCTCAGTGCCCAGCTAGGGGTGGACAGGTGTTGGGCCTCGTTAACATTTGTTGAATGAGTAAATGGAAAACAAAGAATGAGTGAAAAAATAAATATTTGAAGAAACAAATAGTGGAGTAAAAAAAATAGTCCTTACAAAATATGTGATATGGGGCACCTGTTTGGCTCAGTTGGTTCAATGTCTCGCTCTTGGTTTTGGCTCAGGTCATGATCCCAGGGTCGTAGGATTGCGCCCCACATGAGACTCCACACTGAGCATGAATGAAACCCACTTAAGATCCTCTCTGTCTCCCTCTGCCCCTTTCGCTCGCTTGCGCGTGCTTTCACTCACTTGCTCTCTCTCCCCCCTGCCTTCACCCTTTCACTCTGTCTCTCAAATTAAAAAAGAAAGGTGTTATGAACTATATTTGCTTATAAAAATATCTTTGGTATTCTACCAAAGGTGTACATCCTTTCTGAGATTTATTAGCAAACTTTGGGATTTGTCACTATGGAATGACTTTTATGCATAGCGCTAGCTTACGGCTACATTATTATTTTGTTTATAAGCTACCAAACGCTGTATGATTTTGTATGGACCAAGTACCCTTACTGCTCCACAGCTGCATGCTAAGTGCAAGCATCCTGGAAAAGTGTTTCCTATATTGAACTGTACAGTGTGCTGAATTACGCTTATAGAAGTGCCATATTTTCACACGATAGGTCCCAAGTTGCTTTTCGGTTTAGCATATCCCACAACCCAGAGGGTTGATGTCATTGCCTGGCATGCTTCCAGCTTTACAGTATTGGATTACCCTAGACTGTGATTACTCTTTGGATTGGTTTCCTATTGTTGCTGCAATAAATTGGGACAAACATAGTGACTTAAACAACACAAATTTATTATCTCATGTTTCTTTGGGTCAGACGTCCAGGTTGCCTTGGTTGGTCTGTCAGCTTTGGGTTTCACAAGGCCTGAATCAGGGTGTTGGCTGACTGGCCTCCTCTCTGGAAGCTTGGGAGGAATCTGCTTTTGAGTTCATGCAGAATCCAGTTCCCTGTGGTTGCAGGATCGACGTCCTTGTTTCCTAGACTGCTGTCAGCGGGTAGCGTTCTTAGCTTCTGGAGGCTTCTCTTCCATTCTTGCATTTGCCCTTTATGTCTCAGAACCACCAACAGTACAGTGAATCCTTCTCTCCCATGGAGTGTCTGACTTCCTCTTTTGCCACATCTGTTTGACTCCAGCTGGGGAAACTTTTCTGCTTTTAGGGCTCATGTGATTAGAGTGGGTCACCCAGATAATCCAGGATAATCTCTTTATTTTAAACACAACTTTGATTATATTTAGCAGAGACCCTTTTGCCACATAACATGACATAGTCACAGATTCCAGGGATCAGGGTGTGGACATCTTTCAGGGGCTGTTCTTCGTACCATAGTCTGACCACATCACTGTTTTCTCCTCATTCTGCACGATTGCCTCTGGTTGACGGCTCGTTAGAGGCTAAGAAATCTGAAGAGTTTGCTGCCCTCTTGGAACGATCTTATCTTCTGTCCGTGTCACTGGCTCTCCTTTCTTCCGTCAGTGTATGTGTCCCGGCCGCTCTGGTCACTTCTGATGACTTCTGCTTCTCATCTTCCCACCCACTTCTGGCGTCTCTGCCCTCTACCATTGTCACCGTTTCGCTCTTTCTTCTTGTGCCCAGCTTTCCTTACCACTTCTCTGTTCCTCAGAAGTTTGTTTTTTATAGCTAGTGCCAATCACTGGGAACATTCTCTTCTGGTTAATGGACCGACTGCGATTCATTTTTGGCTATTTTTTCTGACTTTTTAAGAGTTGGAGCTTCGTTGCCCTTGCCTGCTCACGGTTAACCTGACCACATGCCTTTGATGTTTAGCGCCGACCTGAGTGTGTGACCTTGCTGACAGGGACGTAAATGAAGCATCACTGTACTTTCGGTTTGGTCAAGAATAAATCTTCCTTTCTGCTGTAGATATCATCCCCTCCCCCCCTTTAGTTTTCAGATATTATGTACAAACAACAGATTTGTGTGTGTCTAAGGGTAAGTTGTGTAATGTGCTACTTGTATTGTATCATGGCTTTGTGTTAACATTTAGCCAATAGAAAGAGAGAGACATTTTTCGAAGTCCAGAAATTCAGAACCATTGTCTTTTAAAATATTGTTTCTGTGCTAAAGTCATCCCATTTAATGGTATATGAATCTGGCATTGTTTATTTAATAAATCTTCGTTTGATGAACATTGAGGTTGTTAACATTTAACACATGTATAAACAATGCTGTGATGAACATCTGTGCCCAAGTCCATTATTAGTTCATTTCGATTAATTCCTGGAAGTGTAATTATTGGGTTAAAGTGTATGTACATTTTTGATGCTTTTGATAGTATTGCCAAATTGCTTTCTAGAAAGTGCGTACGTTTTTCTTTTTTTAGAGACAGGCTTTTTTAAACAAATGTTTATTTATTTATTTATTTTGAGAGAAAGGGCACTAGTAGGGAAGGAGCTGAGAGAGATACAGAGAGAGTCCCAAGCAGGCTCCGCACTGTCGGCACAGAGCAGACTCAGGGCTCTATTGCACAAACTGCAAGATCGTGACCTGAGCCAAAGCCAAGAGTTGGATGCTTAACCGACGGAGTCACCCAGGCTTCCCAATTTGTACGTTTTCTGAAGCAGATTATGACAGTCAGTGTCTTTTCTTGTTCCTCCAGTAAATTTTACATGTTAAGATGCCCCAAATAACACAAATCTCAAACCATATTTACGTCCATATTATTGTTTTAAAGTCCTCGTCCCCAGGAATTGCAATTCCGTCAAGACTGATGTTTTTCCCTTGAAAAACAACTTTTCACTTTGTCATTTAATTAATAGAAAATGTGTAGAGAAGCTGCAAAGGAATAGAATTTAGGGTCCAGTCACATTGATTATGTATTTTTTTTGATCATTTATTTATATTTTACAATGTTTGTTTATTTTGAGAGAGAGAGTGTACACGTGAGAGTGTGACAGCACGAGCAGGGGAGGAGCAGAGGGGGGAAGAGGGGAGGGAGAGGAGGAGGGAGAGAGGGAGAGGGAGGGAGGGAGGAAGGGAGGGAGAGGGAGAGAGAGAGAGAGACAGAGAGAGAATCCCAAGCAGGCTCCACACTGTTAGTGTAGAGCCCAGTGTGGGGCTCGATCCCATGAACTGTGAGACCATGACCTGAGCCAAAATCCAGAGTCAGATGCTTAACCGACTGAGCCATCCAGGCTCCCCTAAAAAATCACTTAAACAAAGAATTTTACATACTCTTAATTTGAGGCTGAGAAAAATGGAGGCCTAGCACCATGACTTAATATTTAAAAAGAAAGTTGGCTCAAAGCAGTCTAATGGTTATTAATTACACACTTGCAGTCTTTAAATTGCAATTGTTGCTGAATATATTTAATTTGCATAGGATTAGGGAAGTAATGTTTTCCTAATATTAAATGTATTTATAGTATTATACGTTTGTTTTTTTCTATAAAGGGGAAAAGCCTCCATCATACCCAGAATGATCATTTCCAGAATGATGGAATTGGTAAGTGGAAAATCAGCCCCGTGGTAATTTGCTTTTATGGTATAAGAGGTTTACTCTAAATTTCATCACTAGAAGATGGGGAGAGGGATACACACACACTTTGGAACTCACTTAACCTCTTTTATTCAGCACATCTGGTCTTGTGAATGCTTTGTTATGACATTTCTGAAAACAGATGGTTTTGTAGGTACCAAGGTTTATGTATTTATAAGTTATGAAGAAAACCATTTAAGCATATGCCACAGAAGTTTTGGGAACATATTTATGTCCTACAAATATTGGATCATTGAAATGTCAAGATAAAGTTTACTTCAATGATTTAAAATGTTGCAGAATTCTGCTTTTAAAATATTAATTGTTTAACCTTCATTTTGTCTGTGACTATTGCAAGCCAAAACTTTATTGTGAAAAAATATTGTGTATATTTTCCTAGTCTCAGAAGAATGTTTATTGAGTGTGTATGATTTTCTCTCTCGAAAGACACACCTTTACCTCCTTGGAAGACATTTAAAATTATACTAGTTTACAGAGAGAATACTTTGTATAACTCAAAATAATTTTAGGTAACGTTGTAAGATGGTTGTGGTTTTTTAATATGCTTTACTCTTCCACATTGATAATTCTTATCTTAGGCAGACCTGGGAAATGTGTTTTGCTGTTGGTGATTTAAATCATTTTTGTCCAGGGGAATGTGTACAGTTACTAAGTTGAGTCCTTTCTCTGTTTATTTTTCAGTTCAGCCCAATCCTTCTGTACTTATTGGCAATCCTATTAGAGCATATACTCCTCCACCCCCCCTTGGACCTCACCCAAATTTGGGGAAATCTCCAAGCCCTGTTCAAAGAATAGATCCTCACACTGGGACAAGTATTCTTTATGTACCTGCTGTCTATGGAGGGAATGTAGTTATGTCGGTGCCTTTACCTGTAAGTGGACATTTGAAATACCGTTTATTGAATAAAATAAAATAGGCTTCACTAAATTAGTAACTATCCCAAATAGTGTTGTTGTTGTTGTTGTTTTACTTTTTAATTCTTGTACGCTTCTTTTAAAGCAGCTCTTTCTTTAACCTTCAAAATGTGAAATGACCAGAGAAATATGAATTGTTGTTTATTGTCAGTTGTTATGAAGAAATTTGTATATTGGATGTTTTGATTGAGAAGACTTTGTATTCCCTTAAAAATATTTTTGCTGGGGAAAATTGGCCTGAACATTAAACAGAGCTAGTAAATTGGTCTCTTGTTTTGTAAAGTGATGCTTTTATTTTATCTGTTACTTTTTTATTCTTACATAATTCACTAACCCTTCCTAGGAAATACAGTTTTTTGGAGGAGGCAAAGAAGCTTGGATTAGTCTAGCTCTCTGGATCAGAATTTATCTGAGAAATTTCAATCCTTTCATAATCTTACTGGCACTTAAAAACATTATTAAATGTTTTCTGAGACTATAGATATTGAGAGGGTTTCCATCTTGTGTAAAACCCACTTTTGTTCCTTTAAGATTTTTTACTATTTTGGTAAAAAAAAATTTTTTTTTTACTAATATTTCCAAATTCAGAAATTTTATCCCAGAAAATATTTCTTGCATTTAAGGCAAATATTATAATTTCAGGCAGAGGTGATTATTGCCAGGGGTTTTGGCACCTCCACACCCCAAAATGGAAAAATGCCCAGCTGTACACCTTGCTCAGCCATATTGCTCATGAGAGTTTACAATTACAACAGCCAATAGCTGTTGGTAAGAAATACGTGGTTCATGCCCACTCCCCAAAAGACTTTCAATTTTAGCTGACTTATTTCTTCCCAGACAGCCTGGCAACATGATACATCATTTTCTTTAAATAGTAAGTCCCTTAGGATTTATATTTCATTTTACTAGGTCAGAGAGGCTTTTATTATATAAGATTTTTAAGAGTCTGCATTTAACAGTTACACTATAATAAGATAATAGGGGCAGTAGCTCAGATGTCATAGTATTTATCCTTTTATGTCAGTATGCAGAGATTATGTATTTAGATATACCTAAAGAAATATTTTGTTTCTGTGGTTTAAGGGAAGAGTTGAATTGATCAAAAGAGTTAATTTAAACTAATGACCTATCTGAATTTTGCCTACAATCAATGAACGTTAAGTGATTTGGTTATTCATGTAAATTTGGAGTATGTGTATTTCTTTTTTTGTTTTTAATTTTTTTAATGTTTATTCTTGAGACAGAGACAGAGAGTTAGTGGGGGAGGGTCAGACACACACACACACACACACACACACACACACACACAGAATCTGAAGCAGGCTCCAGGCTCTGAGCTGTCAGCACAGAGCCTGATGCGGGGCTCAAAATCATGAACCGTGAGATCATGACCCAAGCCGAAGTCGGACGCTTAACTGACTGAGCCATCCAGGCCCCTCCGCCGCCCACCGTTTAAAAAAATTTTTTTTAATGTTTGTTTATTCTTGAGAGAGAGACAGAGACAGAGCATGAGCGGGGGAGGGTCAGAGAGAGAGGGACTTTAATGTTTATTTTTGAAAGAGAGAGAGAGAGAGAGAGAGAGAGAGAGAGCGCGCACATGAGCAGGGGAGGGGCAGAGACAGAGGGAGACACAGAATCGAAAGCAGGCTCCAGGCTCTGAACTGTCAGCACAGAGCCCAATGCGGGGCTCAAACCTACCAACTGTGAGGTCATGACCTGAGTCTAAGTCAGATGCTTAACCAGCTGAGACACCCAGGCACCCTGGAGTGTGTATATTTTATGTTGAGACTCCTTAGACTAAATTCTTTAACTTTTTCACTTGTTCTCTCATTTAGTCTATTAAACTATGTAACTATGCAGTTATAACTTTAAAGGGTAACTTTCTTGATAATCTATGACATATATACATTCATATTAAAGGGAAGTGATTTAGGATTATAAAATAAGTTGATGCGTCAAGGAATAATTACCAATTTTATGTCCCTAGTTTCTTCCTAACCTGAAAAATGACCAATTTTCCCTACACACTAAAGATTCAGGAAGCCAGTTTTTCTTTTGGAAGCTAATTCTTGACTAGTTAAGTTCTAGCAATAATTCTACCAGTTGTTATAACTAGCATTGACTTTGTAGTTACTTATTTTGATAAAATTAACATGTGTGTGTTTGCTTTTTCCTAATCAGTAGCACTATAGCAGTTTGCATTTTAAAATGTATTTAATGCAGTTACTCCATTTCTTGTGATAACGTAGGTACCATGGACAGGGTACCAGGGCAGGTTCGCAGTTGATCCTCGGATCCTTACACACCAAGCAGCGATGGCCTACAATATGAACCTCTTACAGACACACGGACGGGGGTCTCCCCTACCGTATGGCCTTGGGCACCACCCACCCGTCAGCATAGGGCAGCCACAAAGCCAGCATCAGGAGAAGGATCAACATGAGCCAAGTCGAAATGGTGAGCTGCTTTGCTGTTATCAAGATCCTAAAATGTTGATACACCTGCTTGTATCTTTTAACAATATGATTGTTAAATTGTTCGTGGATTATAGACCCCTTTGAGAAAGAATCTGATGCAAAAACTATGGATCTTCTCTCCAGAAGATACAAGTATGTACACAAATGAAAATGCATGATATAATCAATATTACCAATTTTCTGAAAAAATACCAAATTTTAATATTTAGAGTGTTTTTAAATGATAGTTATTTAAAATCGAGACAGAAAATCCTCTCCTGTTAAATATATTTATTGACCAAAATTATTTTTGTGGTACACTAAATGTAGATGCTACTGTGGCAATAGTTGACCTAAAGTAGTTACATCTTCTGTGAATCATAATCTCCTGTGTAATTGAAGGAAAAATTACACAGTCTTTAAGTTTGTTTGTTTATTTTATTTTTTATTATATATTTGAAAGATTCTTGGGTTTTATTTGTTTTGAGTGAGAGAGAGAGAGAGAGAGCATGTGTGTGCGCAAGCGGGACAGGAACAGAGAGGGAGGGAGAGGGAGAATTGCTAACAGCACAGAGCCAGATGAGGGGCTTCAACTCATGAACCATGAAATCGTGACCAAAGTTGGACGCTTAACTGACTGAGCCACGTGTCCTTATTTATTTGTTTTTGAGAGAGAGTGAGAGAGTAAGAGAGAGAGAGAGAGAGAGAGAGAATATTCCAAGTAGGCTCTGTGCTATTAGCACAGAGCTCGATTTGGGGCTCAAACCCACAAACCATGAGATCATGACCTGAACCAAAATCAAGAGCTGGACCCTTAACTGACTGAGCCACCCAGGCGCCCCACTCAGTCTGTTTTTTTCAAAAGAAAAAAAAATTTTTTTTTTTTTTACATTTTTTTATTTTTTAGAGAGTGTGAGCAGGGGAGGGGCAGAGAGAGAGGGAGACACAGAATCAGAAGCAGGCTCCAGGCTCTGAGCTGTCAACCCGGAGCCCATCGCGGGGCTCGAACCCATGAACTGTGGGGTCATGACCTGAGCTAAAGCCAGATGCTCAACCGACTGAGCCATGAGGCGCCCCAGCACTCAGTCTGGTTTTTAAAGTCAGGTTTACTGAGGTATAATTTATATAATGTAAAATTTACTTTTAAAATGTACAGCTGACATATTTTGACAAATGAACAGAGTTGTTAACCACCACCAGAATCAAGACACAGGGTGTTTATGTAACTCAAAATATTCTCTCATAGTCCTTTGTAGTCTGTCTTCTCCTCCAACCCCCAGCCCTGGGCAACCACCGATCTGCGTTTTGCCTCTGTACTCTTGTCTTTATACTTAGTACGTCATATAAATGGAATCAGAGTATATGGCTTCCTTGTGTCCAGCTTCATTCACTTAATGCTTTTGAGATTCATTTATGTGGTCTTTGTCAGTAGTTTATGCCTTTTTACTGTTGATTAATATTCTATTATATGGTTGCACTGCAGTGTTTGTATCTATCCATCAGTTGACGGGCACCTTAGTTATCTCTGTTTTTTGGCTCTTATGAGTAAAGCAGCTGTGAACATATGTTTTCATTTCTCTTGGGTGTATACCCAGGAGTAAGATTACTGAGTATGTTGTAAATACATAGGTAACTTCATAATAAATTACCGTGCTGTTTTCCAAAGTGGCTGATGCGTTTTTCTCATCAGCTAGTAATGTTTGAGATCTCTAGCTGTTGCACATTGTCATCAACACTTAGTATTGTTAGTCTTTTTACTTTTACCTTTGCTAGGAGGTATCTGATAGAATCTGATGTTAGTTCGCATGTTCCTAACATCATGGTGTTAGTTAGTGGTGTTAGTTCGCATGTTCCTAATGATTAATAATGTTGAATATCTTTTCATTGGGTCATTTGCCCTCTCTCTCTCTCTCTCTTTCTCTGTCTCTCTTTTGTAATGTTTGTTTTTGAGAGAGAGAGAGAGAGGGATCACAGACTCTGAAGCAGACTCTAGACTTTGAGCTGTCAGCACAGAGCCCGACCTGGCACTTGAACTGTGAGATCATGACCTGAGTTGAAGTCAGGTGCTTACGGTGCCCCTAGAAGTTTCTACTTTTGATAAAATTCAGTTTATCCTTTTTTTTTTTCCTTTTTTGAGCCATGTTTTTGGTGTTGGCGAAATTTTTGTCTGATCCAAGATCACAAGGATCTGTGTTTTTTTTCCCCAGGAATGTCGTGTTTTTAGCTCCCACATTAGGTCCTTTTTGAGTTAAGTTTTATATGTGTTATGAGGTAAGAATGTTTTTGTTTTCTTTTTGCTTATGTATGTTCATTTGTTTTAGCACTATTTCTTGAAAACACTGTCCTTCCTGCATTAAGCTAACTCGGTACCTTTGTTGAAAATCAGTTGACCACATACATGAAGTCTATGTTCTGTTCTGTTGATGCACACGTTCATGTGTGTGCCAAATGTGCTGTCTTGATTCCTGTAGCTTCATGAAAGTCTAGACGTCAGGTACTATGAGTACAAGGTTGTTTTTCTTTTTCAAAACTGTCTATTCCAAGTCCTTTGCATTTTCCACATGCATTTTACAATCAGCTTGTCCATTTCTACAAAAAATCCTGCTGGGATTTTGATTGGGATTGTGTTGAATCTACAGGCCGATGTGGGGAGGATTGACAACAATATTGAGTCTTCTGTTATATGAACAGGATATCTCTCTCAGTTTCTTTTTGTTTTAAGGACACACTTCAAAAAAATTGTTTTTAATGTTTGTTTAGTTTTTGAGAGAGAAAGAAAGAAATCCCAAGCAGGCTCCATGCTGTCAGCACAGAGCCCTGTGCGGGGCTTGAACCCATGAACTCTGAGATCATGACCTGAGCTGAAACCAAGAGTTGCAGGCTCAACCGACTGAGCCACCCAGACACCCTATTTCTCAGTTTCTCTTACTTAGTTTTATGATTTTCCTCCTCAGTAGTGCATGCCACACATTTTGATGTATTTTTGTTTCATTCAGTTGAGTACACTTTTTTTTTTTTTTAAGTTTATTTACTTATGTTTCTGTGAGAGAGAGAGAAAGAGAGCCAGGGAGGGGCAAAGAGAGGGAGAGAGAATCCTGAGCCAGCTTCATGCTGTCAGTGCAGAGCCCAGTGCAGGCCTCGAACCCACAAACTGTGATCATGATCTGAGCTGAAGCCAAGAGTCAAACACTTAACCGACTGGGCCACCTAGGCACCCCTTAAGTACACTTGCTAATTTCACTTGAAATTGGATCCATGGAATATTTAGAAAGGTGAGTTTTAGTTTCCAGTTATTGAGGATTTTCTAAGAATTTTTATGTTGTGGATTTCTACTTTGATTCCACTGTGGCAAGAAAACGTATTTTGTATGACTCAAACTCTTTTCTTTTGAACTTGCTGAGATTTGTTTTACAGTCCAGGATATGGTGTATCTTTGTGAATGTTCCATGTGCACTTGAGAAGAATGGAGTACTCTATAAATGTTACTTAGGTCAAGTTGATTGATAGAATTGTTCACGTGTACTATATTCTTGCCCATTTTCTGTCTTCTTTTAAAGAAATATGTATTGGGAGGAGAATATTGAAATCTCCAAGTACAATTGGTATTTGTCTATTTTTCCTTTAAATTTTGCTTGGTTAATTTTGAAGTTCTCTTATTAGGAGTATAAACATTTAGGATTATGTGCTTTTGATTAATTAACTCTGCTGTCTTTTTTTGAATGACATTCTTTATCCCTGGTAATATAGGCTTTGCTCAGAGGTCTACTTTGTTAATATCTAATGTAACCACTTTAACTGTATTTTGACTAGTGGTAGCATGGTATATCTGTTTTGACCTTTTTCTTTCCTTTTTGATCTATTACTTTTAATCTTTTTGTGTCTTTATATTTATTTATTTAAAAAAATTTTTTTAAATGTTTGTTTATTTTTGAGGTGGGGGTAGGGAGAGGGGTAGATAGAGAGGGAGACACAGAATCCAAAGCAGGCTCCAGGCTGTCAGCCCAGAGCGCGATGCGGGGCATGAACTTTTGAACTGTGAGATCATGACCCAAGATGAAGTTGGATGCTTAACCAACTGAGCCACCCAGGTTCCTTGATTTGTGTCTTTATATTTAAAGTGCATTTCTTTCTAAATTTTTGTTTGTTTATTTGAGAGAAAGAGAGAGAGAAGGAGGGAGGGAGGAAGGGGGAGGGGTAGAGAGAGAGATGTAGACACAGCATCCGAAGCGGGCTCCAGGCCCTGAGCTGTCAGCACAGAGCCTGACGCAGGGCTCGAACCCATGAACCGTGAGATCACGACCTAAACTGAAGTCAGACACTCAACCGACTGAGCCACCCAGGCGACCCTAAAGCACATTTCCTTTAGATGTCATATGGTTGGCTCTTGATTTTTTTTTAAGTTTATTTATTTTGAGAGAGCCAGCGGGGGGCGTGGGAGGCAGAGAGAGAGAGGGAGAGAGGGAGAGAAAGAGAGAATATATCCTAAGCAGGCTCTGTGCTGCCAGCACGGAGCTCGACGTGGGGCTCGATCCCACAAACTGTGAGATCATGACCTGAGCCAAAATCAAGAGTTGGATGGAAATCAAGAGTCAAATGAGCCACCCAGGCACCCCTTGATGTTTTTTTTAATCCAGTGTGACAATCTCTGCCTTTTCATTGAGGTGTTTAGAGCATTTATAATTAATTATATAAATTAGGCTTGATTTTATCATCTTGCTATCTATTTTGAATTTGTCCAATCTTCTTTTGTTTCCTCTTGCCTTTTTTTCCTGTCTTCTTTTGGATTCGTTGAATATTTTTTATGATTCCAGTTTATCTCCTTTTTTGATTATTAGCTATAATTCTTTATTATTTTAGTGTTTGCTTTAGAGTTTATAGTATATATCTTTATCACAGACTCCTTTCCAATTTATATTTTACCATTTCATGTACAAAGAACCTTACAGTATTTCAATTTATCCTCTTCTGGCCTTTATGATATTATTGCCATACATATTACTTTCACATATAAGGCCAAACATTGTTATTATTTACACAACCAAATAATTTTTTAAAGAGGTTTAGGGGCATCTGGATGGCTCTGTCAGTTAAGCGTCTGACACTCGATTTCGGTTCAGGTCATGATCTCATGGTTTTGTGAGTTTGAGCCCTGTATGGGCTCGTCACTGACTTCGTGGAACCTGCTCCTGATTCTCCCTCTTTTCCTGCCCCTCCCCTGCTCGCACTCTGTCTCTTTCAAAATAAATAAATAAAAAAGAGTTTTAAATAATAAGAAAAATAATTTTTTGATCTATCCATGTAGGTAGCATTTCTGGTAGTCTTTATTTCTTTCTGTATATTCATGTTTCCATCTGATACAATTTTCCTTCTGCCTGAAGAAATTCTAACATTCCTCATAGTGTAGATCTACTGGTGATGAATTATTTCAGCATCTGTATGCCTGAATATATTTTTGTTTCACTTTCATTTTTGAAAGAAGATATTTTTGCAAGGTATAGAATTCAAGGTTGACAATTTTTATCTTTAAGCATTTTAATGATGTTACTCTCCTGTTTTCTTGCTTGCATTATTTCTAGTGAGAAATCTGATGTCATCCTGTCTTTGTTTTTTCTATATGTAATGTGCCTTTTCCCCCCCGTCTGACTGCTTTTATGAGTTTCTTTTTTGCTGGTTTTAGTAGATTGATTATGCTGTTCCTTGGTGTAGTTGTCTTCATGCCTCTGGTGTTTGAAGTTTGTTGAGCTTCTTGGATCTGTGTGGTTTTATAGTTTTCATCAAGTTTGGAAACTTTTGACCTTTATTTCTTAAGATATTTTTATGTCTTGCCTCTCCTCTCTTCAGGAATTCCAACAACCCAAATATTAGGCTGATTTAATTTTTCCCACAGTTGATGGATGCACTTCCTTTTTTAAATTCTTTTGTTCTTTTTGCATTTCATTTTGTGTAACTTCTATTGCTATGCCTCCAATTCATTAAGTTTTCATACTGCAGTGTCTAATCTGTTAGTTCTACCTAGTGTATTTTTCATCTTCAGACGTTGTAGTTTTCATTTCTTGAAGTTTAGTAGTAAGGCTATTTTGGCATGAGAATTCATTTTACAGAGAGAGTTCCAGTGGCTTTCCTAAAAGAGTGTTTTCAAACAAGAACCCAAATCAAGGATTTTTTTCAAGGAATTTAAAATATCCAGCAGTTAATTCTTATAGATTAAAATCCTTTCACATGTGTGAAATAGCATCTTTTAATTCTGTTATAATTGTGATTTTTAAAAACACTTTAATTTTGTTTCCTTTGCTATTCCTCATTCACTTACATTTAGTTTGCTATCTATTACTTTTAAGGAGTATAAGTACACCCCTTTCAGAATATCTTTATTCAGTTTAGATTTCTTTATTAATTTGGATTGATATATTATTTGCATTTTTGCTTAATTATATTTGTAAATGGCCAAAACATTGAGCCTTTATAAGTAGTAAGAATTTCAGTACCTTTTCTGTGACTGGTTTAGGAAAAACGAGGCTACAAATTCCTGGAGAATGGGCAATTATCTTTGAAATTATTTCATGTTTTACGGTTATTCCTTTATTAATCTTTTTTATTGATAATGAGGTTTGCTTTAATTATAAATTTTCTTTCTTGCAGGGAAACTACAACCCTGAAACTTTAGTAAAAACAAAACCCCAGCAGTAATATAAATTGATACAATAGATGAAAAATGTTCAAATTATTCTGCTCTGTCTAATAATGGTTAGTCATTGGAAATGTAACATCCATTGGAGACAATTTATAAGAATTTAAAAATATTTTCTTAGGTAAAAGTGATACAAATAATCCTGGACCTGAAATTAGTAAGATTCGAACACCAGAGAAAAAGCCTATGGAATCCAAACAGGTATGCTGCTTACATGTAGTGAATGCATTATCCTAATGGATTTTAGTCTGATTGATCACCTTGGAATGTTGATGTTTTAAAGAAAATTTTCTCTTTTTATGTATATCTTTTATGCTTATTGTTTCATGGGGACCTGTTGGGTCGTGTTATCCTCTTCACCTTTTCTTTGGCTATTGTTTGCTTTATCCATATACTTTTCTCAAATTGTTGGTCAGTGATAGACTTGAATTTAGAATCTTTGTTTGATGAAGTAGTAAGTGAGACACATTTATAGACGTGTTATTGAAAATCATCTCAGAATGGAAAGAACTGTTCTCGTGAATAGGGAAGACTTAACTTCCTTGTGTCGCTCACCTTGTTCTCTCATCACATCTACTGTGTAAGTCCTTAACTTTTTTTTACGATCGAAGTGTAGTTGACACACAATGTTACATTAATTTCAGGTATACAACATAGTGATTCAATGAGTCTGTCTGTTCTATGCTTATCACAGTGCGGTTACTATCTTCCACCATACAAGGCTATTTATTACAATACCATTGACTGTATTCTCTGTGCTGTGCCTTTTATCCCCATGATTTATTCATTTCGTAACTAATGCTGAACTCTTTTTTTTTTTTTTAATTTTTTTTTTTCAACGTTTATTTATTTTTGGGACAGAGAGAGACAGAGCATGAACAGGGGAGGGGCAGAGAGAGAGGGAGACACAGAATCGGAAACAGGCTCCAGGCTCTGAGCCGTCAGCCCAGAGCCCAACGCGGGGCTCGAACTCACGGACCGCGAGATCGTGACCTGGCTGAAGTCGGACGCTTAACCGACTGCGCCACCCAGGCACCCCGACTAATGCTGAACTCTTAACTCACCCGTTCATCTCCTTTATTTGCTTCTGTGGTTGTGGACCAGTTAGGGAAAATCAAATCATTGGTTGAATTAGTGCCAGTGGAAATTAATATTTTCTAATCTCAGGGAACCCAGGGGGCTCCTCTGCCTTTTGTTACATGTACGTAGCTCCCTTTGCCCGATTTCTCAGCAGCTCTTCTTGTGCCTGATACCTTCCACCTACAGTTATCCTTATGATCAGGAGATGACCTTGCTTTAGAGTTGCCACATCAGGATTTCACCCTGTTAACTTAAGACCTTAGACTTACCCCTTTCTCCTTTAACAACCCTGTTTTCTTATTACCACATAAGAGTCTGGTAGAAGAGAAGGAGTTTCCTTTGAGACTACTTTCTCCTCTTCTGGTCACCTCATAGGCCTAGTCCGTTCTCCTCAGTCATCTTTAAATTCTTTAAATTCTTTCCAGCTGCTGGTTCTTCCTTCTCAGCCAGTAAATAAATTGACCAATCGACCGGTTTTTTTAAAAGACACTTTCTTTTTAACCCTCATCTCCTTTATAGTTTCCCCAAGTTCACCTTTCCACCTCATCTCTTATTTGGCCCTGAACCAATGCAGCCTCGTATTCGACTTTGACATTCACTGAAAACCGTTGCACTTCAAGTGAGCAGATTGTACGAACACACTTCAGTTGTAGTCTGACTTGTCTTTTCTCTGGTATTTGGCTCTATTTTCTACTTCATTTTTCTTGACCATCTTGTTCTTCTGGTTTCTTTGCCCCTCATTTCTACTTTTCACAACCCTGTCTAACGTGACCTGCCTCTTTTATGAGTTCGTGTCCCCCCCCTTCCCATCTGTCCCTCGTCCTAATGTTGGGGTTTCCCAGGGTTCTGTCACTGTCCTACACCTCTCAGCATTCTATGATTTCTTAGTACAAACTAGGTCAGTTCCATCGTTTTAAATCTCTGCTGCATGATAATGACTTCCAAATCTGTATTCCCAACCTCAGCTTGCTTTAAGCAACTGTTCTCTGTACTCAGTGACTTATGTTCCATAAGCAGCTCTGACTCACGGTTTCTACAACTGAAAGGACTTACTACCAACTGGAGGAGTGCAAATGAGGCCACCAGTGGAACTTCCTGATTGAGTCTGGAGGGAGCTGCAGTGCAAATAGGAGTTCTGTGTGTTTGGAAAGGGGTGCGAGAGGGAACAAATGGCACGCTTCGATGCCGTGGCAGCCCGTGCAGTCACAGGCATCACAGGACAAAACGTCCGCAAGAGCCTTGGGTGCTGTGGGAGCAACCGAAGCTGAGATACTGAAGCGTCTCTCGAGTTGTTTTTAAATTTCTCTTTTGTTCTTTCCCTGTCCAGGAACTAGGCAACCTAATAGACACGTTTCATTTCTTTCCACTCTGATGCTTTGTCCCGGGGCCTCGCGGAAAACCATTTCCTGGCTGTCCTTGATTCAGTGCCTCAGTATGAAGAGGAGAGTGGCGTGGGATGATCTCATTCTGATAATAGTATTCTCCGGCTCCCTCTATCCTGCTTAGCCCACTGTAGTGTCAAAGAGTAGCACTCTATTGATTAGGCTCCTATGACTGGCCTAGCTTCCTGTCCATGTCAAAGTCAGAAGTGAAGGAGGCAGCTTATCCACAAACAACCTTGACATCTAATCACGGCCTCCCTCATGCGATCTGTGTGTGAATATCAACGGTGTCTTATGGAAAAAAGTATATCCCCGCTGAATGTGACATCAGTCTCAAAAAGATGAAGATTCATGGGGGACCATGTTTGTTTATAAAGAGCCTTTATCAGGTTCTGAAACTTTTATTTTGCAGATAAAGTCGAATGATTTAGACAGTTAATGACAACTCTTTATTGAAGACCGCCCATATTTGTAATGCCGTTTTGGGTAACAGGTTCTGGGACATTTGAAGAGCAGGCATTGTAGCTGCTGGGAGACTGGGATGGAGGTGTCATTCTTCTCATTCATTTTATAGATGATTTATAAACGCCCAGTAATCTTAGGGACATTACTGGCCAAATTCAAGTGGCAATCCATTTAAACTGGTGATTAGAGGTGAAAAGGCACTTGAGGCCCGATTGGTACATTGCAAACAAACATTGTTGCAACAGCTTGGTCGCCAGGAGTCCCACGGCTTCAATTCAGGAACAGGCTGTTTGTTCTGGGTTCTCAAGAGTGGTCGGTTCTGTGTTTAGCTTCAGAGCCTTTGGTGAGGCGAGTACTTCGCAGTACTCCGTGACTATTTCCACATTGAAACTTAACAGGAGATTGATGTACCGAAGCAGCTTATTGAGTGTTTTGACAGAGAGGGGAAAGAAAAATAGCTTCTTTCCACGTTGTATTTCATTTGTCACATTGTCACCGTTTGTGATCAAACATAGGTTGCAGAAGGATGACAGCACTCCATAGCTTACAAACCTTCGGTAGCTTACCACAGTTTACAGGATGAAAAATGTTTATACTCAGTATTGAATCATTCTGGGTCTTGTATAATTGGGCTCTCGCAGTGTTATCTGATGTCAAGAAGGGGAAAACTAACATATAAACAAGTGATGTTGTAGCTGTATGTACACAGAACTTCTCCTGCTCCTCAAATCTGCCTTACTCTTTCTCCTCTCCCTGCCTGTCCCTCCTTGTTAGGCTGTTGCGTTTACTTAGAATGTCCTTCCCTCACTGGAAAATTCCAGATCTTTGTGCCAGACTCCATTCAAATGTCCTAGCCTCTGTGAAGCCACCTTTGATTTTGTCAGGCACTAGGACCTTCTATCACATCCTTTTACAGCACCTAATTTTATGTTTCCTTGTTTGTGTCTTCTGCTGGACTCGAAGCCTCCTCTAAGCAGACCTTTTATGCAAAAGGTCAGAGGTCAGATGGTAAATCTTCAGGCTTAATGGGCCATATGGTTTGTGTTGGAGTCTCTCAGCTCTGCCACTGTGGTCAGAAATGGTCAGAAAGCAGCCGTAGACAATACGTAAACGAATGAGGGTGGCTGTGTTCCAGTAAAACTATTTGTCAAAGTTTGGTGGGCTGGAAATGGCCTGGGAACCGTAGTTTGCCAGCCCTTGCTGTAAGCTCTTGAGGGTACAGACTCAGTCTTCTTACTGTCCTTTAATCTCCGGCACTACCCTTGGTAGGTTCTCAGTAAATGTTTGTTGAGAGAAGAAATATCAATACCTAATGGCAAAAATTGACAACGAAACTGGTTATACAAAGGTGGTACAGTATGTATTTGTCCACTTCAAAGTTGTTTAAATTGAGACAAGTATTTTTAAATTAATATAGATATGTTTGAAGAAAGAGATGTATAAAAACAATAAAATTGGTAGGAAAGGACACATTATAATGATTTATATCAGAAGGAAATAAATGGTTATCTTTCTGAGGAAGAAAGTGTGAAATTAAAAATCATGCTTTTAAAGGAATTAAAGTGGATGTGTTAATAAAATGGCACTATGTCTTCTTATGACTCAAATATAATACGGGTTTTTCTGTTTCATCTTTCCTGGTCTAAAAAATCTTTATTCCCTCATTTGATGGTCAGAAAGTGATTGGGCACGTAGCATTGGCTATTACTGATAAGAATGTATCATATCCTTCAGATGTGCTAGGGGTGGGAAAAGGTGGAGAGCCACAGGACCCAGATCGTCCGCAGTTAAGAAAGACTTCTTATTTTTTTCTAGATTGATTTGGAATCAAATCCACAGAACAGAAGTCCTGAGTCGCGTCCTGGTGTTGTTTATCCCAATACCAAATTTCATCGCAAAGATAATCTCAACCCGAGACATATAAATCTTCCTCTCCCTGCTCCCCACGCACAGTATGCAATCCCCAATCGTCATTTTCATCCCCTTCCCCAGCTACCAAGACCACCATTTCCAATTCCGCAGCAGCACACCTTGTTAAATCAGCAGCAGAATAATTTGCCTGAACAACCAAATCAGTTGCCGCCCCAACCGAATCAGGTAGTCCCGCCACAGAATCCGTTGAATCAGCTGACTCAGCAGCCACCTCCTCAACTTTCCCCTGCCTATCAGGCAGGGCCCAACAGCGCTTTCTTTAATAGTGCGGTCTCTCACCGGCCCCAGTCCCCTCCTGCAGAGGCTGTGATTCCTGAGCAGCAGCCCCCTCCCATGCTGCAGGAAGGCCACAGCCCTCTTCGGGCCATCGCACAGCCCGGCCCCCTCCTTCCTTCCCATCTGAATAACTTCACTGATGAGACTCCCCCGGGATTGCCAATCGGGGAGGCTTTAGGTAAGTTCTCCTGTCACTGCTGGGTGTGACAAATTCAGAGATTATTTCCTTAAATCGACATGTACTGTGCAGTGGTCTTTTGGGTCAGGATCGATTCATTTCTTCAAGTGATGGCAGCAGACGTCAGTCACTTAGTGTAAGTCAGAATCTTGTTCCAAATGCTCTGTAATGTTAAGCGTCCCGTTGGTGCCACTTTACATGATGACGTAGGAACAGTCATCAGCACCGTTACCGTAACTTTAGTTACTGGCAAATTTAGAAGACATTTGCCTTCTCCAAAACCCAAAGCGTAGGCATTTCTTTGTTTTTGGGAAGAAAATCTGGTTGCAGAGACTCTTGGAAGAGTTAACTTGAAACCCCAGATGCGTGAAAACTGAATCTTTTCCCAAATATCTTGCAGATCGTATGCATGGGAGTGTAGCTCTGGAAACACTGAGGCAGCAGCAGGTGCGGCTCCAGCAGTGGAATGAGCATCACGCCTATCTCAGTCAGGGCAGTATTCCGTACCCTCACCACCATCCTCATCCTCACCTCCAGCATCTTCCTCAGCCGCCAGTGAGAGCGGACTGGAAGCTCCCCAGCAGCGCGGAGGACGAAGCAGAAACCGCAGACTCCAGGTATTGCTGCGGAATACGAATAGCCTCGCACCGGGACCGCTCCCCTTCCCCCACGCAGCCTTCTCTCTTGGATACCGCCCTTTTAGCCTCAAGTTGCGGTATTGTCCCAGAGAAATTGGATGCTGGCCTTCTAGGCACGTGCTACACGGTGCTAGGATTGACTCTACAATCTAGAGAATCCATTTAGAAGTAACTTTAGAAGATGCTAGAGACAATCCATTTAGAAGTGCACATCTGGGTGGGGACTGTGTTGGGGATTGAAAATTAATGTGGCCCCATGCTTTGTGGCTCTCCTGAAAAAGAAATGTACCATCACTGGGAGCACCTTTTCGTACTCAGTAGTAATGCAAGAAATGAACGGATACAGAAGTAAATTAGGTGGAAAGTTAAAGCTTATAAATTTATCATCAGTTTATTTTCCTAGCCGCACAGAATTCTATCTGCTTTGAACTACGGACCTTGATGCAGGCTCAGTCCTCCTTCTAAACTTGTTTTTATGGCCAGTGTCATGTGGATGCAACGAAGCGTTTCCTAATCCCTCTGAATTAAAGGTCCACCATTATGGTGACCTTTTTTTAAAAAAAAAAAAAAAAAAATTTTTTTTTTTTTAATGTTTATCTACTTTTTGAGAGAGAGATTGACAAGAGTGTGAGCAGGGGCGGGGCAGAGAGAGAGAGGAAGACACAGAATCTGAAGCAGGCTCCAGGCTCCAGGCTCCGAGCTGTCAGCACGGAGCCTGATGTGGGGCTCGAACCCACGAACCCTGAGATCACGACCTGAGCTGAAGTCGGACACTTAACCGACTGAGCCACCAGGCCCCCCCGGGGGGGGGGGGGTGACCTTTTATAACTGCCAGTTATCGAAGACACGTAGAGACAGGACAGTTGGTTTTAATGCCAAGGGAAAAGAAAGAAATCAGATACTTGGGGCATATTTACTGTCTTCGATTCCACATCTGTTGAGTGTTAATGCTCACCTTTGAGATTAATTACTGTGAGTTCTAATGAAGTATTTTCACTTTTGTCTGTAAAAATTAACCCCTGTAGTTGACTAAGCTCTCCTCGATGTGATGGAGCTTTTCCTTTGTTTTCTTGTCCTCGTATTTCATCGTCTTTATGTAGGTTTCAAGACTTAATCAGAGAACTGTCTAATCGTGATCAAAGTGAAACACGGGAACTGGCTGAAATGCCACCACCTCAATCAAGACTTTTGCAATATAGACAAGTTCAGAGCAGGAGCCCGCCAGCAGCCCCGCCTCCCCCGTCCAGCACGGACCACAGTGGCCACTTTTCTAACTTTAATGACAGTAGCAGAGACATCGAAGTAACCAACAACCCAGCATTTCCGCAGCGCCTGCCGCCCCAGCTCTTCAGCTCACCGTTCTCATTGCCATCCGAACACCTTGCCCCTCCTCCCTTGAAATACCTGGCGCCTGACGGAGCGTGGACTTTTGCTAACTTACAACAGAGTCACCTAATGGGGCCGGGTTTTCCCTACGGCCTGCCTCCCTTGCCTCACAGACCACCGCAGAACCCTTTTGTACAAATACAGAATCATCAACACGCTATTGGTCAAGAGCCATTTCACCCACTGTCATCTCGAACAGTATCTTCTTCTTCGCTCCCTAGCTTAGAAGAGGTAAATGTCTTTCTTTTCCTTTTTTTGCTTTTGGGATTAAATTTTTGTGGAAAATGCTAGTATTTATTGATTTGATGAGAGCGGTGGACAGATCTTCGTGAATTTAGTAGTCATTAAAGATAATCTTTTCCTGGAATGTATTTTTAATTTCCCCTCTTATGTGCTATTTCAGGCTTTGTAGAATGTCCGTTATTGTTGAAACATGCCCTTAGAGTCTGTTACTGCCGTTTCGGAACATTTCACACCTGACTGACCTGAGGAGGCCCTTCCTTCAAGCAGCTTTGTTCTGTCTAATCTGGGGAAATGGTTTCCAGTGATTCATCTTTTCACTTACGTTACGTGTGTCAGTTATGAATTTGTTAATTAAGCTTTCCATAGATGATGGCTTTTGCAGCCAGCGGTGAATTCCTAGCGCTGTGCTGTCTCTTGTCACCCTTCCTGGTGCTTTCGTGGGTGGGGGCGGTTGACCCGTGGCAGTGCTCGTTCCCGGGTGTCACTGGGCTGTGCGTGTAGTACAGGATTGACTCTGCAGTGCTGAACATTTTATGGCAAACTGGGTTTTTGTCTTAAGATACTTAGGTATCTCCAAAAAGAATCTCTGCGGACCTTCACTGATACGAAAATCTTAGTAATTCCGGGTTATGAAACTTACAAAATGGTACCATTGGTGTAGACTATAAAAACGTTGTCTAGCTGTTCTCTTTAAGCTTGTCGGGATTAAATGTAAGAATTTATAAAGCTGGTTGTGGTCATTATCAATCACAGATGTCTTTTTATTAAAACAGGATAAACATTTCCTATTTTAATATCTGAAAACATATTTTTTTGACAATAGCTTCATTTTGGCAGTTCCTCAGTGATTTTCTTTTAATTTTTTTTAATGTTTATTTTTGAGAGAGAGACAGAGACAGAGCAGGAGCAGGGGAGGGGCAGAGAGAGAGGGAGACACAGAATCCGAAGCAGGCTCCAGGCTCCGAGCTGTCAGCACAGAGCCTGAAGCGGGGCTCAAACTCAGGAACCGCGAGATCATGACCTGAGCCGAAGTCGGACGCTCAACCGACTGAGCCACCCAGGCGCCCCATCCTTGGTGACTTCTAAGGGCTTTGAAATTAATTCAGATGTTTTGCCAATTTTCTGCTGTATATGCTGATTATACAGTCCAGTTTCATAGGCATGGTTCTATATCTTATTTGTAGAGTTTTGGACGTCATTTGTTCAGATCGTTCCAGCATACATTGATTGGCTTGTCTCATATAATTATTGTGATGAAAACAACTTAATTGCTATCTCAGGTTCCTAATATAAATTATAAGCATAAGATGAATTGGTATCTGTATATATGTATTGTGAGGATCTAGAAATTTGGAACCATACCTTTAAAGAATTGACACATATCTGACATTATTTCAAAATGTAATGGAAATGCTTAACAACTGTGCACTAATGTTATTTTCAGTTACGTGATGTTTTATGTACTTACATATGTATTTCTCTTTTTTTTTTTTTTTAAGTTTATTTTGGAAGAGAGAGAGAGTGGAGAAGGGTCAGAAAGAGAGGGAGGGAGAGAATCCCAAGCAGGCTCCATGCTGTCAGCACAGAGCTGGATGTGGGGCTCAAACTCAACGAACCCTGAGATATGACCTGAGCTGAAGTCGGATGCTTAACCGACTGAGCCACCCAGGCACCCCTGTATTTATTTCTGATAAAATTCATATAACAAAAAATTCTCTTTTAATCATTTTAAACTACAATTTAGTAGATTCTAACATATGTACTATATCATGTAGCCACCCCCACTCTCCAGTTCCAGCACATTGTTGTCACCCTAAGAGACCCCCCCCATAACCATTAAGTAGTTGCTCCCTACTCCCCTCATGCCTCCAGTCTCTAGTAACTACTAATCTACTTTCTGCCTCCGTGGAGACATTTCATATAAATGGAATCATACTGAATGTGGCCTGGCTTCTTTCTGTTAGTGTAATGTTTTCGAAGTGCATGCACTTTGTAGCATGTGTCAGTATTTCATTCCTTTTTATGGCTGAGTAATATTCCATCATATGGCTATGCCACAATTTGTTGATTTCTTCCTCAACTGGTGGACATTTGGGTTGTGTCCTTTTATTTTGCTATTATGAATAATTCTGCCAAACAAGTTTTCGCGTGAAAGCATATTTTTTGTTCTCTTGGTTAGTTATGTACCTGGCATTCCTGGGTCATTCTAGTAACTCTAGGTTTGACTTTTTGAGGAGCTGCTAAACTGTTTTTCCCAGTGCCTTGTACTATTTTACATTCCCAGTACTGTTGTATGAGGGTTCCAATATCTCCTTTGTTAAAAAAAATATAAATAGCCTTTTAGTGGGTATATAGTGGCATCTCTTTGTAGTTTTGCCATGCATTTCTCTAATGACTAACGATGTTGAGCATCGCTTCATGTGGTTATTGGCCATTTGTGTATCTTCTTTGGAGAAATGTCCATTCAGATCCTTTGCCTAGTTTGAAGCATGGTTGGTTACCTTTTTGTTGTGGAGCTGTAAGAGTTTTTAAATATATTCTGGGGGTCCTTGGGTGGCTCAGTCAGTTAAGCGTCCAGCTCTTCATTTCAGCTCAGGTCATGATCTCACAGTTCATGGGATTGAGCCCTGGGTCAGGCTCTACTCTGACAGGGTAGGGCCTGCTTGGGATTCTCTCCCTCCCTCTCTCTGCCCCTCCCCCACTTGTGCCCTCTCTGTCTCTCTCTCTCTCTCTCTCTCTCTCTCTCTCAAAATAAATAAACTTTAAAAAAGTGTTTACATATATTCTGGGTACTAGATTCCTTTCACATATATGATTTGCCATATTTTCTCCTTCTTTGTCTTTTTACTTTAATAGTATCTTTGATGCATGAAATTGGAATTTCAATTTAATTTGGAAAAAGTCCGATTTTTCTGTTCTTTGTTGTTGTTGTTCCTGTTACTGTGCTTTTGATGTCCTAAGAAACTGTTGTCTAATCCAAAGTCATGGAGATTTATATCTACTTATCCTAGTTTAAGAGCTTTAATTTTTACATTGAGTTCTTTGATCCATTTTGAGTTAATTTTTATGTATTACATCCAGCGATGTCAAATTCATTATTTTGCATGTGGTTATCCAGTTTTCTCAGTACCATTTGTTGAAAAGACTTCTTTCTCCATTGAATGGTCTTGGCAACCTTGTCAAAAATCGATTGACCATAGATGTATGGGATTACTTGTAGGCTTTCAATTCTGTTCATTACGGTCTATGTCTCTACCACACTGTCTTGTATACAGTGTATCTTTGTAGTGAGTTTTGTTCTTTGTTTTTCTTTTTCAAGATTGTTTTGCCTCCTCTAGGTCTCTGAATTTCCATATGAAATTTAGGATCAGTTTGTCAATTTCTGCAAAAAAAAAAAAAATGTCAGCTGGGATTTTAAAAGGGATTGCTTTAAATCAGATTAATTTGGGTATTGTTAAGTATTGTTATCTTAACAGCATTAAGCCCTCTGGCCCTGAACATGGGATATCTTTCTTTTTGTGTAGGTCCTTTGAAATTTTTCTTCAACAGCATTTTGTAGTTTTCCAGGTATAAATCTCACACTTCTTTTGTTGAATTTGTCCTGAAGGTATTTTATTCTTTTTCCTGCTGTTGTAAATGGAATTGTTTTCTTAATTCATTTTTGGATTGTTTATTAATAGTGTGTAGAAATACAGTTAGTAATATAGTGATTATATATCTGCAAGTATACTGAACTCTTAATTGGGTCTAATAGATTTTTTGTGGATACCTTGCGGTTTTTTATATAGAAGAAAATGCCATCTACAAATATATTTTTGTTCCTCCTTTCCAATCTGGATGCCTTTTAAAATGTGTGTGTGTGTGTGTGTGTGTGTGTGTTTATTTTTTGAGAGAGAGGGCGGGGGTGGGGGGAGAGAAGGAGGGAAGAAGCTGGGGAGAGGCGGCAGGGGAGGGGGTGGGGGGGGTGGGTAGAAATCCCAAGCAGGCTCTGCACTGTCAGTGCAGAGCCCAGTGTTGGGCTTGAACTCACAAACTGCGAGATCGTGACCCAAGCTGAAACCAAGAGTCGCTCAACCGACAGAGCCACCTGGGTGCCCCTGGATACCTTTTATTTCTTTTTCTTGCCTAATTGCCCTGGCCAGAACCCCTAGTATGACATTTAAGGTGAATATTTGGCAAATTAGAGAAAAGCAAGTGTATCTAGGGTGAGTTTTTAAAATTTCCTTGTTTTTGATTTCTAATTCCATTCTATTGTGGTTAGACAATATACTTTGTATAATTTTAATCTGTTAAAATTTACTGAGATTTGTTTTGCCGCCTAACATTGGTCTTTTCTGGAAAACGTTTCAAGTGCACTGGAGAAGAATGAATACTTTGTTCTTGTTGGGTGGAGTGTTAGGTCTGTTTGGTTTATATGTTGTTCAAATTTTTGGTTTCCTTTAGATCTCTGTCTAGGTTTTATATCCCTTAGTGAAGGTAGGGTATTGAATGAAATCTCTCAACTATTAATGTTGAATCTTCTGACTCTTCAGTTTATGCTTCATGCACTTTGCTGTTAGGTTTATGTATAATTGTTATATCTTCTTGACAGATTGACCTTTTCACCATTATATAATGTTCTTTTTCTCTCATAACAGTTGTTGTCTTCAAGTATTTTTTGTCTTTTCCCTGATCTTTGTGCAGCCACCACAGCTCTCTCTTCACTACGGTTTGCATGGAATCTCTTTTCTCATCCTTTTGCTTTTTTATTTTGTTGTCATTTGTTTAGTGACTTTTCTGATCAGCTAAAAAATCATTTTAAACTAATTGTAAAATGCTGAATTAATTTTTTAAAGTCTGTGGTTGTGATGTGTCACCTCTGAAGTCTTTATGTTGTTAGCTTAATGGTCAGCTAATCATTGCGTGGAGATTTCCTTAAACTCCTGGGACTAAAACCACGGCCCAGTTTTTTCAGAGGCTCAGTTTTTGTGCTTTTGGGCACCCCTTCC